GAAATACGTGTTATGTGATTGGTATTGAGGTGACGCACATGCTAGGTGACGGGCGTGTGGGCGTGCATCATGTGAATTGGGACTCTGTTATTTCCATGGCACTGTATAGTGGTCCTACTTTGTTGATGTCCGTGTTTTCACCATGTTATAAAGTAATTGAGCTGTCAATCATGCTAGATATCATGTTTAGGCTTTATGACGATACTGCTAGGACCCATAGTGATCGTTTCTTGTTGTTCTTTCACTGATTTCATTGATATTTCGTACTCAGTCATATTCATGCATTTATGTCATATCTCAGTCTCAGTTGTTATTTATTAATACATTATATCATTATTGTTGGGATAGTTTCATGACATTGTGAGCCCGTGAGTGAGACTGGAGAGATTGATGACTGAGTGAGGCCGGGGGCCTGTATGTGAGGATATTGATACTATAGCACGTGAGTTATTTGTGCGGATCCAGATATTGATATTTTGGCACGTGTGTTGTCCGTGCAGCAAGTGAGTTGTCTATGCGGATTATAGCGCTTGGGTTGTAGGAGCCCCTCCGGAATCTGCACACCCCTAGTGAGCGCAGTCGATTATATATATATAGATCGGGTTGCACATTGCAACGGGCCTTATGGTCATATATGGATCGAGTTGCACGCTGCAACAGGTACTGTACCGCGCTGAGTGATTGAGTATGCTGAGCATTGAGCATAGTGAGAGGGAATGCAAAATAGTGATATTGCGTACTCTGGGAGTGTGAGTACATGAGCTCATCATCGAGATGCATTGCATTTGTCATGCGTACTTGAGATACATGCATACAGATGTATTTCCTTCTGCTACCCAACTTTGGGGACATTTATGATTTTACCTGTATCTGGACATGTAGGCATAGAGACGTAGTTTCCTTATCCTATCTGAAAATGAAACATTTTACTTATCATTGAAAGGAGTTTTGGGAAAAATCACAGTTTTCAAACTTACTCGTATTTTGGCATTTTCGGTAAAAGATTTGGGTTTTCACTGTTTATTTCCTAGATACCTCTTTTGTTACTTGTACTATATTGGTATGAACTGTTGTGAAATATTGGTGTTGGACCCGACCTTTGTGTTAGCTCGTCACTACTTTCAACCTAAGATTATGTTTGTTACTTATTGAGTATATGGGATCAGTTGTACTCACACTACACTTCTGCACCTTGCGTGGAGATGTTGATGTGATCGATGGGAGCTGGGTTGAAGATGTACCTGCGTCCCAGTTGTACTGTCTCTTGTTCGTGGTAGCCTTAGATCTATAAAACTCTATTTGTGTACTTTTCAAACAGACGATGTATTTATTTTATTTCAGCTTTGTGAATTCTATTCTTAGAAGCTCATGATTTGTACGACCAGTCCTTGGGAAATATTTAAGATTCAGTAAATTACTTTCGTTTAATTGTCATGTTAATATCATTGGAATTGGATAGTTATTAGTTAGCTTACCTAGCGGGTTGGGTTAGGTGCCATCATGACTATTGAATTTGGGGTCGTGACAAGGGGATACTAATATATGGTCACATCAAGCACCTCAAGATAGTAGCTCGTATTGGAGAAAACTAAATCGTATGAAGGAGGAGATGTATGCATGGTATCATCAAGGGAAATATACTCTTACAGAAGGAGGGGATTACTAAATCACTATTAGTTGCATTGCACTACTTGGACCACATAGTAGATTAAATACAGCTGAATTGCTCTGGAGTAGAATGGTAATGCCAAGGCATAGATTTATACTATGGCTAGCTAACCAACAGAGACTGCTTACAAAAGATTGACTGTTCAAGATGCAAATTCAAGTGGAGGATATGCAATGTTGCCTATGTGATGATAAGATCCGAGAGACATCCCAACACTTATTTGGAGAGTGTAATTGGACATCAGTAATAAGAGAACCACTCATGCAATGGACTGGTATCCATATACAGTTTGGTGAGGTTCAACAAACTTTGGAAAGAATAAAGAGGCAACAATGGACAAGTCTGAAGAAAGAAGTGGTAGTGGCAATTTGGGGGGTTGTTGTGTATCATACTTGGAAGGCCAGAAATTGGAAGATGTTCAAGGAGTAAATGTATAAACAGAGACTGGGATAACACAGTTTAAACAGGATATTAAAGAGAGGATAGGTATACTTAGGATGTCTAGAAAAATGAGAAGAAGTAGCGATTCTGCACACTTTACTTTGTACTTAGTTGTAATTAGATGATATTGTGAGGCTAACTCTCCCTGCAAAACATTGGATTGGCAGTAGAAGTGAGTGCTCTTTACAATAATAATAACAATAAAAACAATAACATACCTAGTATATTTCCAACAGGTGGGGTCTAGGGAGGGTAGTTTCTACGCAGACCTTACCCCTACCTAATGAAGGTAGAGAGGTTATTTCTAATAGACCCTCGGCTCGTAAAGAAGAAGAATGAGGAGAAGAAGAAGAAGAAGAAGAAGAAGAAGAAGAAAAAGAAGAAGAAGAAGAAGAAGAAGAAGAAGAAGAAAAATGAAAGCAAGAAAGGAAGAGAGAAGAAAAAGAGGGAGATGAAGGATAAGTAGTGCCAAATAATAACAATAGAGAATACAATACCTGAGGCAAACAAAACCACATAACACAATTAAGATCTGAGAATACGAAGGGACATGCGTGTTACTAAGACTATCGGTGAGTAATTAAGAAACTCCCAACTACCTACTAACCTTCTACCATAATCCTCGACCTCCACACACTCATATCAAGGGTCATGTCCTCAATGAACTGAAGCAGCGCCATGTCCTGCCTAATCACCTCTCCCCAACACTTCTTAGGCATACCTCGACCTTTTTTCAAACTCGCCATGGATAACCTCTCACACCTACTAACAGGAGCTTCAATGCTTCTCCTCTTAACATGTTCGAACCATCTCAGCCTCGAATCCCGCATCTTGTCCTCCGCGGAGGCTAGTCCCACTTTGTCCCGGATAGTTTCATTCCTAATCTTATCTCTCCTGGTACACCCACACATCCATCTCAATATTCTCATTTCTGCTACTTTCATTTTCTGCACATGAGAGTTCTTAACTAGCCAACACTTAGCCATATACAGTATAGTCGGTCGAACCACTACTATATAAAACTTACCCTTGAGTCTTGGCGACATAATCTTATCACATAAAATACTAGAAGGGATCCTCTATTTCATCCATATCTCTCCGATGCGATGTGTGACATCTTCATCAATATCCACGTTCCCTTGGATAGTAGACCTGAGATACTTGAAACTTGTTCTATCGGGGATAACTTGAGCATCAAGCTTTAAATCTACATCTGTTTTATGGGTTCCATCACTGAATTTGCACTCCAAGTATTCTGTCTTGGTTCTTCTCAACTTGAAACCTTTAGACTGCAAAGTCTGTCTCCAAACCTCTAGCCTCGCGTCTCGTCAATCCACACTATATCATCGGCAGATAGCATGCACCAAGACACCTCCCCTTGTATGTGTCGTGACACCACATTCATTGCCAAGAAAAATAAAAATTGGCTAAGAGTTGATCCCTGATGCAACCCCATCACAATAAGAAAATGCTCCGAGTTACCTCCTACAGTACTCACCCGAGTCTTAGAACCATTATACATATCCATAATCACCCAAGTGTACGGTACCGGAACGCCGCTAGCCTCGATACATCTCCACAGAACCTCTCTCAGGACTTTATCGTACACTTTCTCAAGGTCAATAAAGATCATATGCAAGTCCTTCTTCCTTTCCCTATACTACTCCACTAATCTCCTCACCAGATGAATCGCTTCCATAGTCGAACACCTCGGCATGAATCCAAACTGGTTCTCGAAAATAGACACGCACCTCCTCACCCTGGCCTCCACTACCCTCTCCCAAGCCTTCATAGTATGACTTAACAGCTTTATACCCCTATAGTTATTGTAATTTTAGATATCACCATTGTGTTTGTACAACTGAACCATCGTACTCCACCTCCATTCTTCGGGCATCTTCTTCGTCTTGAAAATAACATTAAACAATCCAGTGAGCCACTAGAATCCTGCTCGACCCGCGCTCTTCCAGAATTCCACTGGGATTTCGTCTGGGACCGTCGCTCTGCCCCTGCACATCTTACACATCGCCCCTTCCACCTCCTCTACCTTAATACGCCTACAAAAATTCGTGTTGCTAATTTGGTATCAATGGTAATTCACAACTGTTACCAAAACAAAAAGTGCTTATTTATATTCATTTTGCAGCAAAAAAAAATATTAAGGCATATAATGTTGTATTTCTGAAAAAATCATCTAAGTATATTACACAAATAAGATTACACTAGCTAACATTCCACAAACAAGAAATCAATCCGCCAATAACTATATATTCTGATTCTAGATTACATAGACAAGGTTCAAAAGTTTCAACTTTATTCTCTCACTACAAAAAAAATAGTGTTTAGCGACGGTCGTATTCCGTGGCTAAACCACTATTTTTCGTCGCTATAGTTGTTTAGCGACGAATTCAAGTTTGTCTCTAAAATGCTCGTAGCTAGGCTCATAACGACAAAAAATACCAAACCATCGCAGAATTAGCGACCGATGAGTGACGGAATATATCTGTAGCAAAGTTTAGCGATGGAAATAACCGTCGCTATATTGCTTGTTTCTGTCGCTATTTTGATGACTTTTGTCGCTACAATACATAACAAAATTGTCGTTTGTTCTTAATAGCGACGAAATCGTCTGTCGCTAATCGTGTTATAGCTAATTCTCCCTGCTTTTTGCAACAAAACCTTTTGTCGCCAATTCGTCGCAAGATTTAATTTTACGCGATAATTTTAGCTACAGAAAGTATCCGTCGCTAATTTATTTTTAATATATTGCTGATTTTTTAAAATTATTTTTATTTATTATTTTAAATGTACTCTGTTCAAGCATATTACATAAAAGCTATTAAATACACTTAATAAAAAGTTACTGATATTAATATAAATTAACAATATATTCAACAAGGTCAAAAATATATAGCATAATGCATATAACGGTATTGTTAAGTACAAAATATCCACAAGGACCAACAATAAAGTCCAAACAAAATAGGCTAACTATGCGAGGCTGGAGAGTTACGGTCATCATCAAAATCCAATGCATGAACCTCATTAATGTTAGCAGCAGTAGAAGATGTAGGAACTGTAGGTGCCACATCTAATGAGTGGTTGGTAAGATCAGTATTTGTCTTATGCGAGGGTAAGAAAACTAATTCGCGTACCCGCTCAACAATTATAGAAACTATATGATCTGTCAGTGCAGGAATCAATCGCATCACTAACTCATCCAGATTTCCTATCGGTGTTGATTGAGCATTTGGAGGTGTTGCTGACGATGAAGCATCAGATCCAAAAGAGTCATGAAGATTTGGCCCGTAGTAGCATTTTGCTTGAGATCCAAGACCATATACTCTTCTTTTCTTTTCTCCTCCCGCGGGTTAATAATATACTTTACACTGATCAATATTAGATTGAGTCTGTGTTGGTTGTTGTAATATCTCCTGATATTTTTCCTGTAGAAGAGTTAATAATTAGTGAAATAAAAAGACTAAATAATATTGAGCATTCAATTTACAAAATGAAAAAATATATGAAAGTAAAGTCAATAAAATTATTTAAAAAGTTATCTTACATGTACGATTCGGGATTTCTCAACAACAAAAGATTTTCAATCATTACCATGTATATGGACGTGCAAATGCAACTCACTTGGTGTTGGATCTCGACCATTTTTAACAGCCTATACAAAAGTTATTCAATTAAGAAGATAGACCTTAAGATTGTGAAGAATCAAATTCAGTGCTAATATTGCTAAGGTGCCACCCCTGATAATATCGAATGCCTTGCTTTAAACCACCAAATTCTGTATGAGTAGTAGCTTAGAGGCAGATCTATAATGTCATACATGCGCATTCTTTATTTTCAACTTAAAACTGCTCACTATAAAAAAACTAGTTATAACATACAAACATATTGACAATGAAGTCAACTTAGAACTTTCCTTGAAATATACCTAAATGATTTTAGTAGTATATATTAGACATTTTAAGTAATGGGTGTCAAATGAATATTCAAACTTGAGAGACCTTGGCCATTGCAAATCTAATTAAACACACGCTTTAGCACTGAATTAGCAAGAGAAAAAGGGAATTATCAATTTTGTCTTTAGAGCAGGGTATAAAGCAGTGAATTTAGAAGCTAAAGAGCCTCACTTCTCAGGCAAATATGGCCCAACTATTGACCAATGATGACTAGATTAACCATGCTACTAACAGGGCTAAAAGAAACCTGATCAGGACAAAAATGATAGAAAACTGAGCAATATCACAAATGACAGGCACCTAAGTAGAGCACTATTTAGTTGAAAATAGCACTACAAGTTGACAGCTCGGACAGCTATTTCACAAGACTGTGCCTATCCATAAAGGATTTAAATTTTGCCTTGGAAGAAGAGAAACGAAGTGGTATACTGAATATAACCTTAAATCTCTCAAAAAACCAAAGAGATAGAAAGTACTGAGTTTACAACTACTAGAAAAGCAAAGCAAAATGTAACAGATTAAAAAAGGGGAAAATTAGTATTTAAGATGAGTTTCTTGTGTTTTCTCCAATCCCCTTCCTGTAAGCATGCACAAGAAAAGAAAGGGAGAGAGGGAGATGTCCATGCAGCAGGACCAAGTACTTAGAAAAATTACATCACCTGTCATGAACTTATTCATAACACTAGTATCAACTAAAAGAAAATGATCTACATACACCTCCAAGATTCAGCTTTTACTACAATAGCAAAAAGAACACCCTTTAGATGTGGCACCTACAGTTCCTACGGTTCCTACAGTAGACCACCTACTTCTGTAATTTTACTAGACCCTTTAGAACCCCAAATATATGAAGATTTGCTTATCCAGTTGGACTGCACCTTGTATTCCTCCCCATGTCCCCTTTCCCTATATTGAAGAGCTAGGCTACCTTATATGAGTTCCAAAAAAGATTTGAAGATTTAACATGTTGACACATCTGTTAGATGAAATGGGGTGTCAAAAATTTGAGATTTTGGCACTTTTGTGGTACTAAAACATTACATTAGTTTTTTCAACTCAATATCTAAATATCTGGGCAGATGATTAACTTGCTGATCATTATCTGAAGGTACATTCACTATGCTTGCCAATACTTCCCTCTTGTTTTCTTTTCTTTCATATTATGTTCCTCTTTCCCCGCCAACAAATGATTCTCAACATATACAATTGGACCACAAACTTGGACCTTAATTTCCTTTTTATTTGTTTCAATTCAAAGTGGTAACTAATCGTTCAAAAAATTTGCAACTCACGATTTTTGAAGACATATTGATCAACTTTAGAAATTAATTACTGTGGATAACTTCATTATGTAATTTATACATACTAAAAAGAAGAGATATTTTTCTGGATCCTAAGGAACTATCAAAAAACTAATATAATGAACTGATAGCAACAAAGAATCCTAAGGAACTATCAAAAAGCTGGGCAGATCAAGCAGATGAGG